GAAGCCCAAAGAATATAAATGACTTGTCCAAGGCCAAAGGGTGCTCGCTCTCTCTCTCTGTCTCTGTCTCTCACTCTGTCTCTCTCCCCTCCTGCCCCTGAACAAACATAGCTTCCAGTTTTTCCTCAGCTGTGCCTGGAGAAGTACCAGTCACCATGATTTAACACCAAAGTCTTCTGACTCCCCTGTCCTCTACAAAGCAAACTATGCCTTGTAACCTTGTAACGTGTGTGTGTGTGTGTAAAAGCAGTTTAGCAAAACCAATCAACACTCAATCATGTCTAACAGTATATGCAGTATTCAATACCCATAGTTCCCCATCTCTGCAAAAAGAGAAGAGTAGTAAATGTTTTTTTTAATGGTTCCTCCAAGCTAAGAAGCAAGCATTGCTCTTGCCTGCTATGTGCCTAGCTCCGCCCTTTACCAGTGGTCTGGATTTGAGGATGCTAAAATCAAATGAAGCCATTAGCCTCTCCCTGGCTTCTCTGAGGACCAGAAGAAATCCCATGTCTTTTTGACCTTTTCAGGTTGGACACACTTAGGTTCAAAAAGAATCAGAATATCTCAGAATTGGAATACCTCAGAGGCCATCTATTAAAAATTTTTTTTAAAAAAATTGCCCCAAAGTGGTCATCCAAACTCTTTGAAGACCTTCAATGATAGGAACCTACTATATCACAAAAGGTACCATTTCACTTTTTAATTCACTGTATGACCCTTGCCTCTTTCTAGTCCATGTTTCTCTTTTACACACATTACTACCCTCCCTGGACTCTTTTTCAGATAAAAGAGGGGCAAAAAGAAAGGCAAACACCAGGACATGAAAGAAGGTGAGACAAAAGGGATTGCCCTTTTCTTTCTTCTTCATAACCCTGTCCCCATTAGCCTCATTACTGCTCTAATTTTCACTCCTTTTCTAGTCCCCAGGATGTGCACTTGGTACCAATATTCTCTGTAGGAATTCAGGCATGAAGTGTGGAGGTCTCTGACATGTATGAACCTCTAAAGTTCATGTGGCCTGCAACTACCCTTCTCTTTTAGGTGGACTTCAAAGGACCAATGGTCATAGATCATACTCTATGAAATATTCTGTGAAGTCCACTGATACTGATTCTCATGGGGGTCAAGTGGAAGAGGAGGAATAGGAAGAGCAGACGTATCCATTGGGTTTCATACTCCCTAGTCATCAATCCTCCATCCTCATAATAGTAAAGGACAAAAGAGATGGATTATACATGAAATTGAAAAGCCTTTACATAAAGGAAATGAGTGCAACTAGGATAAGGGAAGTAGATGACTGGCAAAAACATCTTTATATCAAGTATTTCTGATAAGTGTCTAATGTCTAAGATATATAGACAGCTAACAGAAATCTGCAAGATCAAAAGCAATTTCCCAATAGATAAGTAGTTAAAGGATATGAACAGTTTTCAAAAGAAGAATCGCAAACTATTAACAACCATATGAAAGAATATTCCAAATCATGAATAATAAGACAGATGAAAACCAAAACAACACAGATTTCACCTCAGACCCAGAAAATTGGAAAAGATGAAAAAGGGAAAGATTCAATGTTCGAGTTTTCAAAAAGACAGGCACACTAATTCACTGTTGGCGGAGCTGTGAATTGATAGAACCTCTACTGAAAAGCAATTTGGAATTACTCAAGGAGAGATATCAAATTATCCATACCCTTTACCTCAAAGATTCCACGTTTAGGCATTTACTTTAAGGAGGTCAGTGACAAAAAGAAGTCCCCATATGCAACAAAATACGTAGAGCAGCATTTTTTTGTGATAAGAAAAAGCTGGAAACAAAGTAGATGCCCATAGATTGGGCAATGGCTGAACAAATTTTGATACATGAATGTAATAGAATATTACCGTGCTGTAAGAAATGATGAATATGAGGAATACATAGAAGTATGGAAAAACTTAGATGAACTGATACAAAATAAGCAGAACCAGGAATACAAAATGCACAACATACACAACAACATAAATGCTAAGAGCAACAATAAAATAGAAACTAAATGCTGAATCTATTGTTTTAAGGGACAACTCTCTGAGAGAGGGTGGAGGGAAGGATGCATTGGGAAAAGCAACTGATGTAAAAAGAAAAGATATCAGTACTTCCAGCTCTGGAGTTAACTTGGTGCTGGTCCTAGAGTCAGGAAATAGCCTCAGGCACTTATTAGCTATGTGACCCTGGACAAATAACCTATCTACCTTCTTTTTTCATACGTAGAATGGGGCTAATAATAGCACCTACCTTCCATGGAGGATTGTTGTGATGACAAAATAATATTTGTAAAGCTATTTGCAAACCTTAAATTACTATATAAAGCTTATGATTATTATCCTCTGCAAGACTTGTCTCTCTTTAGTCCCATATTTTATCATAGATTCTAGAGCTGAAAGAGACCTTTACCTCATTTAGTCAAATCCGCTATTTACACAGCCCAGAGCAATGAAGTGATAAATCTCTATCCTATTTCTCTTCTGCCTTTTGTAGCTAAATTCCTCAAAAAGTCAGTCTGCAATAGGTACCTCCATATTCTCTCATCTCACTCTCTTCTTAACCCCTTAAAATCTGGCTTCCTTTAAAAATGAATGTTAAAAATTGTCTTTAAGGGTAATTGGAAAAAATAAAATACTATTAAAAAATAATATTTGTCAACAAGCTGATATAAATAAACTATTTTTTAAAATCTGGCTTCCAACCTTATCATTTCACTGAAACTGCTCTCTCCAAAGTTACTAATGATCTCTTAGTTGTCAAACCCAATGGCCTTTTCTTAGTTCTCATTTTCCTTGAACTCTCTGCATCCTTAGATCACTCTCTCCTCTTCTATACTTTTTTCTCTTTAGGTTTTCAGGATACCACTCTCTCCTGGTTTTCTTTCTACCTATCTCACCGCTCCTTTTCTACCTCCTTTGCTGGATCTTCCTCCAGATCACACCCTCTAACCGTATGTATCCCTCAGAGGTCTGTTCTGGGGCTTCTTCTCTTTTCCCTCTATACTACTTCACTTGGTAATATCATCAGCTTCCATGGACTTAGTTACCATTTCCATGCTGATTCTTCTCAAAACTGCCTTTCCTGCCTCAACTTCTCTGCTGACCTCCAATCTTATATCTTCAACTGCCTTTCAGTCACCTTGAACTGGACATCTGGTGGATAGCTTGAACTCAATATGTTCAAAACAGAAATCATTATCATTTCCCCTAAAGCCTCAATCCACCCCTTTCCTATAACTGTAGTTTCACAGCCTCTGTCATCCTGGATTCCTCACAATCTCTCATTTCCCGTACCCATGTTGTTGCCAAAGCCTGTTGATCTCACCTTTGCCACACCTCTCCAATATGCCTCCTTCTCTCCTCTGACACTGCCACCATTCTGGGACAGGCCTCCATCACCTCGCCCCAGGACTACTGTAATTGCCTGGTAGGTCTATCTGCCTCAAGTCTGTCCTCACTCCAAACCATTCTCCATTCCGTCACTAAAGTGATTTTCCTAAAATGCAGGTCTGATGATGTCACTCCTCCTACTTAATAAACTCTAGAGGCTTCTGATTGCCTCCAGGAGCAAATACAAAACGCTGCTTGGCATTCAAAGCCCTTCATAATCTAGCTCCCTCCCTACCTCTGCACCTTATTCACCAACAGGTACTCTTTGATCCAGTGACAACATTAGCCTCCTGGCCTGGCTTCTCCCATTCCTAGAATGCTCTCTCTCCTCTCCTCTACCTACTGATCTTCCTGGCTTCCTTTAAAGTCCAATTAAAACTCCACCTTCTACAGAAAGCCTTCCTTAATCTCTCTTAATTCTAGTGCCTTCTCTCTTTTAATTATGTCCTATTTATCCTGTATATAGCTTGCTTTTTGTACATATTTGTTTGCATGTTGTCTCCCCTATAAGAATGTAATTTCCTTGAAGGCAGGAACTGACTTTTGCTTCTTTTAGTATTCCCAGAGCTTAGTTACAATCCCTGGCACAAAGTTGGCACTTAATGTTTTCGATGATGATGATCTCAGAGTCTGTACTACTTCTTCCCGTCTGCATCTTCAGTTTACCAGATTACTGGAAGGCACAAAGTGTTACTAGACCACTAGCTGAAGACAAAAACGCTAGTGACAGGCAAAGGATACATAAAGGTGTGGGCTGAGGGAGATGGACCAGATCCGAATGGCATCGGCTCTCCCTGAAAGAGGAAACCCTGGTATTGCTGGCGCTTGCTATGTTATTAGGGAGGAGCTTTCTATGGAGCTCTTTCATTAATTGCTCATCTAATTGAGGGTTAATTAACTGTCAATTTGTATCAAGAGCTTGACAATGCCCTGAGGGTTATCTATGTGCTTTCTTTGTGAGTTGCCCTCAGGAAAGGGAATCCAGATAATGACCCAGAGCTCTAACAATAGTGTCCTGCATCACTCATCTTCCCACCCACGCACTGATTCGAATACACAGATACACACATTCTAATAAAGACACAAACACGCACAACACACACAGACTTGGATACCGAGAAACAGACACACCGAGACACTTTCTGAAAGACCGACGCCAACAGCGGATCCACCAGCACCAATGCAGAGGCACAAACTGGGAAAAGGCACTGACAGGTCTACAGAAACACATAGACCCAAACACTTACACACGTGCATATTGCATCAGAAACACACATAGCTACACTGGTGAAAACGTGCATAAACACACAGCGTGAAGGTAGTGGGTGGGAGGGAGGACTCGAAAGGACATCCCCACATCGACGCCTGCCAAACAAACTCACGCCAGACAGGACAAATACACACACACACACACACACACACACACACACACACACACACACACACACCACACACACACACACCTGTCCGGCTCCCAGTCCCCTCTCCCAGGGTGTCCCAACGCCAGTTTTACCCCAGGAGCTGAGCAGCCGCCTCCTGGGACCCGACCAGTCTGGCGGCACCGGGCTCGGGGACCTGGAGGTGCGAGAGGCTTGGTAGGGGGGCCCACGAGACAGGCCAGAGAGGCACGAGGTTTCGAGGCGCGAGGCTGGAATGGGGAGGGGCACACGGGAGGGGCGAGGCTTTAAGGGGCGCGAGGCTGGGTGGGGGGCACATGAGAGGGGCCTGACAAGCACGAGGTTTCGAGGGGCGCGAGGCTGGGGTTGGGGGGGCACAGGGAGGGGCCTGAGGTTGGAGTGGGGGGGCACACAGGAGGGGTCTGAGAGGTGCGAGGCAGCTAGGGGCGCGAAGCTCGAAGGGGCATCAGGGCCCGGCGGGGGAGGCGCACCCAGCCGTGTGTCGGTTCTGGGCGCCCTGGCATTGCACAGAAGCCAGCTGGGCCCAGCTCGGGGGCCACGAGGCCTGGACCGTGGCCCGCTCCAGCAGCGCTGGGCGCTGTTGCCCAGGCCACCGGCTGGAGGAGCCAGAAAGGGAAGGGTTAAGCCCACAGAGCTCCCGCCGCGGTGCAGCCTAGAGCGGCGGCGGCTGTGGCGGCAGCGGCGGCTGGGCCGGGAGGAGCAGGAGAAAGGGGGGAGGTGAGGAAGGGGGGAGGGGTAGAGAGGAGGGGGGACGGCGGCGGGGCCGGGGCAGGGCCGGGCGGGGACAGGATGCCGAGGGGGAACTTCCTGTTCCCCCAGCCCCCCGCCCCCCGCCCCCGGCCCGGTCCCGCCGCCGCCTCCTCAGCCCCAGCCCCGGTGCCAGCCCTGGTCCCCGCCCCGGCTCCCACTCGCCACATCGGGGACAGACGGGGACCAGCCGCCCGCAGCCCGGCGCGGGGAAGCAGCCGGAGCCGGGGGGAGCCGGGGGGAGTCCGCAGCCCGAGCCCCAGCTGCCCGTCCCCCCTCCTCTCGCCGGTGAGTTCGGGGCCCGGCGGGGGCGGGGCTGGGAGAACAGGCGGGCGGACCCAGCGCTCGGCAAGACACGACACAATGCTCCCGGCCCCGTCCTCCCTCTCCTCCCTTCCCCCAGCCCCGGCGGGGTCCGGTCCGGCCTCCTCTGGCCACTTCCCCCCCTCCCTGGCGGCCAGGCCTCAGCTGGTGCGGACGCTGCTTCGCTCTCTCGTGCTGCTACCACCTTTGCTTCCTTCAGCTCCTTCCCTCCCTTCCACGTTCTTCTTCATTCCCTTTCACCATCTTCTTCTCTCCAACTCTTCTTTCATCCTTTCATCTATTTTCCTCTCATTTCCTTTTCTCCTTTATGCCATCACCTCATCCTTTCATCTTCTTTCCTCCTTAATCTTCTCCCCTCCATTTCATTACCTTCATCCCCTTAATCTTCATCATTTCATTCTTCTCTCCTTCATCTCCCTCATTTCCCCCATCTTCCTCTCCATCTCTTCTTCCCTCCTTCCTTCATTTTTCTCTTTCCTCCTTCATCTTCTTTGCTTTTCCACTTCACTCCTTTATTTCCTTCACTATTTATCTGCTTCTCTCCTTCCTTTCATCTTTTGCTTTTTCTCCCTGCCTTTCTTGTTCTTCCTCTCCAGTTCTTCCCCTTAAACTTTTTGCTTCTTTCCCTGCGTCATATCTTGTTCTAATTCCTTTCCCTGCCCTGCCTTTCTTTCTCCTTCCTTGGGCCTCCTCCTGATTCCATTTTACCCCTTCTGGCTTCCCTTCCATCCTTCCAATACTGCTGTTCTTCCTGGAACTTGCCATTCAGGAGTTGGGGTTCTCAACCTTTTAGTTCCCTCAGGTCCTGTGCCATCATTTCTTCCTCTGCACCTAGCAGTAGCACCTTGTACCATTCCTATGCTCTAAGTGTGTTGTTTTGTTTTTATAGGTATTTGTGTATCACTTTTTTAGTTGGTTAGCTCTTTAAGAGGATTATCTAACTTTGTATTTCCCCTGCCGAGCAAATGCATTGTAATTGGTACTTAATAAATATAGTTGGTTGAACAGAATAACCATTTCCCCTTTGGTCATTTGACCACCTGTTCTCTAGGAGTGGCCTTATTAGGCTCACTCTGCTGGTACCTTTCTTCCTGGCATTCTGACCTTTCCCTCAGGCCTCCTTTCCTGATTGTCACCTCTTCTTCCCAACAAGAAAGCAAAAATACTACACAACTACTTCATTTCATCCCCTTGTCTGCCCCCCTCCCCAGCCTCTTACCCTGCTAGGTATTTGATGTTTCTTAAACTGACTGGCCTGGGTTTCTATTGTGATTGGATAGTTATTAGCCATTGATGTATTAAATAGGCCAAGCTGGAAAGACTAAGAACTTTTGGAGAAGATGGCTAAGTCTCCATTGTGATAAAAAAAAAAATTTACTAAAGATTTCCTGGGCCTAGGACATCATCCATTGCTTTTTCATGATACAGAGACATTAGGTCTTTTAGGAGCTTACAGTCCATGAAATGAAAGGTAGATATTTATTGAGTGCCTATCAGTTATAAGACACTATTATTAGTGCATAGCACTTTGAACATTGAACTTGCTCTGCATTCTCTTTACTGTAGGTTCTTTCTCTTCTGTCATGGAATATACAATAACCTCCTTGTGACAAAATCCAAAAGTTCAGTTTGGCACCAGTGCTTCTCTGGCCTTTCTGCTCACAAAGTCTTTAAAAACTGACCTCCTCAAAAAAAAAATACTAGAACAGCTGAGCCCTATACAACTTGAGGTGTCTGGTGGAAGTAGCTTTGAATTGCACTGAATAGTAAGGGTGATGAATGAGGCCAAGCTCTGCGCCCTTGGTAAAGTTTCCTATGACTTTATAATCTTCAGTACCTATGTGCAGAATGAGAAGTCTGGACCAGATGAAGTCTGTGATCCTTTCCAGTTCTAAAGCCTAACACCTGTGCTTTTGATATAGCCATTGGTTTATAAATGCTTTGACCTTTGCCCTCTTCATTTGCTTCCTGACCCTACGGGTATTCTGGGTCTCCCTCTACTGTCATAGTGAATCTGAGGGTCTCAGAGTTGGAAGGGACCTCGTAATAGGTAACCTAGGCTTATGCTATGGGAACCTCTGTTGGGATTCCCAGAGCATTTGTTTTTGGCTTCATTATTTAATTCAACAAGTCTTTTTTGCGTGCTTAATATTATACAATGAATTGTTTGCTGTGGGTAATACAAATATGATTATAACATAGTTCTTATTCTATGGAAGCTTATAATTTAGTTGTGAAATGTTTATATGACAGTGCTAGGTGGATCTGATTAAGTACCAGGACAGATGGTATAAACAGTAAGAGTATAGGAATTTAGAGAAGGGAGACATCAGTGTGGTGATAGCATTGAGTATTCACCTCCTAGAAAAGCCCTTCCTTTCTGAAGGTTTGAATTGCCATATATGCAGTAATTGGTTCTATAGGAAGATAAGTTACTAGAGACACAGTTCAATATAGTGGAGAGAACAGTGGACTTCAAGTGAGGAGGCTTGACTCTGCTACTGTGTAACCCTGGACAAGTAATTTAACTTCTCTGGGCCTCAGTTTGCTGCTCTGTAAAATATAATGTTAGACTTATATAGCCTAGGACTCTGTGCTAAGCCAGGGCAGCTCCCACATCCTGTAGGGACCTTTCCACAAAAGTATCTTATTGTCACTGGAAAGTCATTGTAGTATAAATGGACCATCTTTGCTTTCTATCTTCTCTTACCCAGCTTCCCTTATCAACCAGATTCTTGTCTGTCTGTCAAGCCTGTAATTCTGAGGAGGCATGCTTTGCCTTCATATCTTACTGCCGTGTCTAGTCCATTACCGTATCTTTCTACTGCTTTTTGCACCAGTCTTTCATTTCTGTTCTTTCACCTTAAATTCATCACCAAAGCCTTTGTCCTAACTGGTTAACTTATGATTTGATTCCTGCTACTCTAATTTAGCTCCTGTATTTCAGAATCTCTGCCCTTCAGGCTGTTATGTTTCTAGAATGGCCCCAGAAATGCAATTTATCCACATCAGAGCCGTGATGTAGTTTTCCCCAGTGGTTCCCAGTACCAAGTCCTACATTTAGGCATCAAAGAAGTGCTTTGTCCAGTCTCTTTTCTGTGTAATGACATCTCACCCTGCCTTCCAAACAGTATTCTCAATAATTGCTAGGCAAACCTTCAAACTGTTTTACACACATTGTCTATTACCTTTCCTTTCCCCTTCCTCTTAAGATCCATATAGTCTTTTAGAATCTAACCCTGTATCTTCTATGAGAATCTTTCCAACAGCAGCAACTCACTGAAATTTGTAAATTTTCATTTCTATATATATTTATTAATTGGCATTTGTCATAATTATAGTTTTTTGCCTTTATATGTGTTTTATTAAATTTACTTTTGTCATCTGCACCATATCCCCAAGAATTCTACATTTCCTGAGAACATGAACCATATCTAGCCCAAACAACTAAGACAATGTTATGTTTTTTGTGATTGTTTAATAAATGTAAGTTTTTGGTGAAATCAACATATTAAGCAAAACTTGAAGTGGGAGGCTGGAGGATGGCTTTATAGAAACAAATGTTGGGGAGGGATTTAAGAGGAGAAGGCTCTTGAATGTTGGTGTTTTGGAAAGGAATCGAAGAAAGTAGGAGAAAGAAACAGTAGTTTTGGGGAGGAGCAATAGGTAGACCAGAAGGTGGGTCTGTTTGATGTGTGTGTTCTTTCCAAGTCTGAAGGACTTCGAGAAATTGTTATCAAATAGTCCTCAGGCTGAGGAGAAATTGCAGGATATGAAGGGCAGGGCTATAGATTACCTACTGGGAAGGCAGTGATATATTCTCTGTTCTGAAGGATCTGATCTGGCCTGTTTCTTAGGATCCCACGTACTCACCTTACTTTAATTTATAGTTATATAAAGAGGCTGTGGCAACTGAGCTTAGAAAATGTTAGCACTTTTGTGCATATTCCATGAACAGCATCTTGACCATTTGGGGTCCAGCAGCTTCTGTTGTTCTGTGCAGAGCTCCATCATTACTTTTTCCTTCTGGCTTTTCTGAAATTGTACTGGTGAATATTGACTTTGCCTTCATGTCTCTCAGTTTGATGGGGACAAAGAGATGGCATTTTTGTGAATTTAATGGTTCTTCCTTAGACAGAATTTTTATTTTTTGGGGGGGAGGCCAGGAATAGCAATGGTAGCCATGGCAGTTTGGATTGCCTTTTAGCTAGATAGAGACCAACCAGTAACACTAATGGATTTATTAGGTCCCTTCAACAGTTGGCTTATGGGAAAGTTGGTCAGTGTTTCTCCTAAGGGAATGAAAGGCCACATAGGTACTAGGATGAAGGAGCTCTTTGTTTCTTGATTCATCCCAGGGAGAGTCAGTGATTTGAGTTGTTTCCTTCCTCCTTCTGAGCAGAGCTCCCTGGAAACCCAACTTGACCTCCAAGATGGAGCGAGGGGATGAAGCATGTGTGCTGGACCTTCGGTGCTCTGAGGACAGGGATATCCCGCAAGGAGTTCATTCAGGTGAGGGAAGAAAGTAAAGAGGCCATCTCCCCCAAGCCTGTGGAACTTTTCTTTATAAGGACTGGGTGATGGTCATTTTCAAATAGTTCCAGGCCACGAAATGAAAGAGACCGAGAGACTTTAAGGTTGAGTCTGGGGGTCTTTAGCACAGTCTTTTCACAGGGCAGAAAGTGATGATGATGCATGAGTGATGAAAGAATCAGGATATAATGGCAATGTAGATTTGGGGATGGGTGTTTACAGGCTAGGAATTGACTAGGCTTCATCAGTATATACATACACATAGGTATATTACATACATGTGTATGCATGTATATTATACATGTGTATAATATATACACATGCATGTGTATATATTATATATGTTATATGTATATGTGTATATTATATGTATTACAATTGGTAAATTCCAGTAGCTTTCATTAACTGATTAATCTGTTGAGGAATCCACATATTTACAAAGAGAAATTAAGGCACAGAAAAAGTCGGAAGCTCCCTTGAAGTCATGAAGTTTCACAGATCTGGGCTCTCCTGTTTATGACCGAGGTTTCCTAGGTTTCTTTTCACATTTCTTTCTTTTCTTTTGTGTGTGTGTGTGTGTGTGTGTGTGTGTGTGTGTGTGTGTGTGTGTGTGTGCAGGGGACGTGGAGATATGATCTGGGCTCCTCCCATCTTACATCATGGAACAGTATGTAATACAGCCAGCTGCAACCTAGATGACTTGAGAATAATCTGGGGAAAAAAGTCTCAAAATCACCAAAAACAAAGAAAAACTTTAGAAAGAATACTAGAAAGCTTGGATTCAAACTCTAGTTCTGCTACTTCATTTGTGACACTGTGAAAGTTAGTCTATAGGCCTCAGTTTCCTCATCTACAAAATGAGGGAGTTAGGTTAGATGATCTTTGATATCTCTACCAGCTCTAAATTTGATCTATGTTTGTTGTTTTCCTTTATTTCTATTCTCTCATACTACTCTTGGTCTCTACTCTTTGCCTTTCTATTTCATCCTTGCTTAATTCATAAACTCTGACCCCTCAGCAGTATTTCCTACATTTGTGGACTTTTTAGGATTATCAGCCTTCACTTTACAGTATGCTATCCAGAACCTTGCAGTGGTCATTTTTGGCCAAACCTTAATTTGCTATCCACTTTCTGAAGGAACAGAATTTCCATTTGGTGTCTTAACTCAAGAACCCTAGATGGCATATAGTTTAGTTAGAAAATAGCTTAGTGAGTGAAAAACTGGACTAGGATTTTAGTCCTGGTGGTGTCGCTGAATCTTTTTGTTGCCTCATCATATAACTTCTCTGTATTTTACTTTCTTCATCTGGAAAATGGGAATAAATGATACCTGTCTCTCTTTTTCCTCACAGGGTTGTTGTGAAACTAAATTAGATAAGTGAGTCAGCTTTCTAGTATCCACAGGCAGATTATCAACTTTATAGATTATTTATCATGAATTTTTTTCAAGGGCTATCTTCACCCTCCACACCCCATTTTTCTGTTAGTCTAAAGAAAATGTAAAGAAAAATTACACGTAGGTATAACCAGACTTTGGCATAATTTATCTTATGGAACAGAGGTTTTACTGAAAAATTCTGCGTTGAACAGGATCTGTGTATCAAATTACATTTTTCCTATTGGGTTTTATCACAAAATTGAAGATATGGTCCTTCAGGGGAAAAGTCATGAAAATCATACCTATGAATTTAGGAAATCTTTTATAATTACACATTTAAAAAGAAAAAAATGATAATTTCTGATAAAACAACACCAAGGAGAAGTAAAAAAATATAAATGTTGTGCTAGAACTGGAATATTGTACCAGAAACTGAGAGCCTTTGGGACATTATGGATGTAAAACACTTTAAAGGTGTAAAGTGATATATTCACTTGAGCTACTATTACCAATTATTCTTTTGGGGTAGTCCTGAATGGTAGTAAGTTCTGTTGTGTTTGTTCACCACTCTATCCCATTGTAAAATGTCCCAGTAATTCAAAATTTTTAGTTGTTCTAAATTTTATCCTTATTTTATCCTTAGTATCTCCTGTTATTTAACAGCCCTAGTGAAAGCTATTAGATACTTGAAAAGGCAGTATTTTTTTGGGGGGGGGTATTCTTTACAAGGTTTTTTTGTTTTGGTAAAAGTTTCTACACAGTGAGTTATCAAGCAACTTTGAAGCAATTAATTATTTTGGAAATAATTAACTTTAATTGTGGAAATAATGAACTTTCTATAATCATTAATTTTTCATGAATGAGGGATTTGCTTTATTCTGGGGGGTAACCTATAATACATTTCAAAGAATTTCTGATTAATTTTAATTACCTTGTGATTACTCAAATCCCTTCTTTCCCGTTATTTAGAATCAAGTAGTCAGATTTTAAAGTGCTTTATGTCATGAGCTTATCAGAGGAAGGGTGGCTTGAAGGGATGGTTTTTTTTTTTTTTAATCTTGTTTTGACCTGGCCAAAGATTAACTTGAGGTAGAAAAGGAAGGAGCTGGACCCAGGAAAGGTGAAGTCAGAGGAAGACAAGGGAAGTAAAGTCAGGACCACGAACTGGTTTCAGAGGAGGAGAAAAATATGTCCTTTAGCCTTCCTCCCCCCCCTCCCCTTTTTCTTTTTTGGCGTCAGGCAGGGATTGTTTTGTAGCCCTTGGATCTCTTATTTCCAGATATATGGCTGACATGCAGTGCTTTCTGGCTCCCTGCCTTCCTCTCCCGGGTCCCAGGACTTTTCAGAAAATTAGCTTGTAGGATCGAGGCACTCTTTCCTCGATTAATCCTTTGATTTGAACCCATTTAAGATTTACCCTTTTTCTACCTGAATACTCAATTTCTCCTTTCCAGCAATCTTCCCAATGGCATTTGTCACATTATCATTTTAAACATACGACCACAATTATTTTATTCAGTCCCTCCCCCCCTTCCCAAAAGGTATTTATTATTATTATTTTGGCACCACGTGCGGACGTAGCTAGGTTGGGGCAAGGGTGCAAAGGCCAGTGGTAGGGAAAGAAGTTAGGAGGGGATGCATAGAAAGATCCCCAAATTCTCAATAGCAGCAGACCTGATTGATTCAGTGATCTCGAGACTGCTAGCCGGACTCTTTCCCTCCATCCTACCCTTTCCCCTCTAGGAGATGGGAGTGAGAATGAGGAAGAAGAAGAGGAGGAGGGGAATGGCAGCCCACAGCAGCTCTTGGCCACAACTCCATCCGGGGATGGTGAAGAGGAAGAGGAGGAGGAACCTGAACTACAGCAGCCACGGCTGCTTCGTGATGGGGATGCTGGTCGTGGTCGAGGCCGGAAGCTGGCGCCCCCTACTCCCTTACCCCCTGCCCGCGGCTATGAAAAGCTTAAGGAGCTGATGGTATTGCCCCCGATGGCAGCGTCAGTAGCAGCTCCACCTAGTCCTGGCAGTGGGGAGCCCCAGATGCCACCTCGGAAACGCCGGCGGCGGAGCCGGGACCGGCCCACAATTTGTGGGGAATGTGGGAAGGGCTTCAGCCGAAGCACCGACCTAGTCAGGCACCAGGTGACGCACACAGGTGAGCGGCCCCACCGCTGTGGGGAGTGTGGCAAGGGCTTCTCGCAGCACTCCAACCTGGTCACACACCAGCGTATCCACACCGGGGAGAAGCCCTACGGCTGCGCGTACTGCGAAAAACGCTTCGGGGAGAGCTCGGCTCTGATTCAGCACCAGCGCACGCACACAGGTGAGCGGCCCTACGCCTGTGCGGACTGCGGCAAGCGCTTCAGCGTCTCCTCCAACCTGCTTCGCCACCGGCGTACCCACTCAGGGGAGCGGCCCTATACGTGCGCGGACTGCGGCGAGGGCTTCCGCCACAAAGCTCAGGCCCGGCGGCACCAACGCCAGCTCCACGGGGGAGGAGGTGGGAGCGGGTTGGGATTAATGGGGCCTTCTCTGCGGCCCGGAGAGCCTGGGGCAGAGCTGGTGGATGAAGAGGAACTAGGGGACATTGGGGAAGCGGGCGAGGGTAGCCCTGATGATCAAAGAAGCTGAATAAACTTTGGGAGGCAGATTTGGGATGGGAAGGTTGGGGAGGGCAGGCTGGCCTGGGTGGGGAAGGAGATCCCAATGGGAGGGTGTGGTGGGGAGCAGGGAGTAGTGATCATTCTAGGCTGAGGAATTAGGGATCTGAAGCTAAAAAGGTAGTGGTCCTGGGACTGGAGGTTGGGGTTGAGTCTTCTCTCCCTGGGGTTGCCAAGGTAAGGGGAGTTGGGAAGGATAGAGGATAGATGGAAGGATAGAGGTGGGAAAAATCAGAGAAACGGATCCTTAGAGGATATTAGGATCCTTTGGTTCGGGATTCTTTTTCCGGTCTAGGGAGCAGTAAAGCACTTGGGGAAGACAGTAAGGACTTTGGGGACTAACCCTGCAGTGGCCCGTGTTGGTCTTCAAGAGGTAAGGTGTTTGGAATGGGGACACTGGGGCATAAAGACAAAATGGGGGAGAGGAGGGGTATCTAATCTAAAAGGTTTTCCTTAATAGAGGAGTGGAGTGAGAGAGAGAGGGAATGTAATTTATTTCCTCTGAGTTGGTACAAAATGTGGAACTCTGAAGTGAGCACTCTCCTTTCTAAGTGACTGCTTTATTTTGGAGGGAAAGACATATTTATATTCCCCTTCTTTCTCTGAAAGTTCAAGTACAGGAACTACTTTGTCTCCCTGACACAATCTTCTTGGAGTCCACCTTCTAAAGCAAAAGCTATAATGAGCAGTGGAAAGGGATGGGAAAGGAAAGGTAGCTCTTGTGTTCGAGCTGCATAGCTTTGGTCCTCTTCCTTCTTAGACTCCCCAGCAGTGGATGGAATTAATTGACTTAATAAACATTTATTAAGCATTGGCAGTGTGCAAACCACTAAGTTTGAAAAGAGATAGAAAATATAGGTAAGATATGGTCCTGCCCTTATGGATCTTAAAGTCTAGTAGATAATATTGATGGCTGAAGGGAAGCCAAGCTTGTGGGAGAGCAAGTCCATATTTTTCTCTGAAGTACAATTCCACCTATGGGACCGATCTGTAAACCAAGAGCAAAAGGAACAGAAGGCCTCCCCATTTCCTGTTCCCCTTCATCCCAATAAGTCCACCAGGTCCAAGGTTAGGCCCTGAAGTATAGAACCTCTGTGTCCTTTCATGGGCTGGGGGCTGAAGATGAATGATTTAGTTTTCCCTTGGAGTGAAGGGATCAGGCTCATTGTTTGACCCGGTAGCAGGAAGGACTGAGTCTTTGGAATGGGTGAGCAGGACATGGGGACAGTGGAAATGATCCTTGACTTAAAAAAAAAAAAGATGCATTAAGAATTTAGCAGAAGAATTGTAATGTGTCTGAGTGTTAGAACTTAGAGCTAGTGGCATTTTGGATAGGAGAGGCCACTGTGGTGGGTTTTACCCACCTCCTGCCCCCAAATGCCCCTCTAGGTCTCTTCATTATCTGGTTCAACCCCTATTCCTTCCTTTCCTGTTCCTCTGCTACTAACCCTCTTTGCACACAACTTGTAACATTTATACAAAAATGTTAGGAAGTGAGAAAATTTTTACAAAAAAAATAAAAGTTTGAGTAAATAGAGTATCTGTCCTTGTCTTGCTCTGTTTCTGGATCAGTCATCTCTGTGTTTAGGCCCTTGTCTCAGTTTGACTCTTGTTTACAATGAAAAGGACTTTTCCCATTTAAGTTGGGGCAAGGAATTGAGTCTAGGTTTTGTTTTTGTTTCTGTTTTTTTCCCCCCTTGCAGATCCTGTTGTTTCAGAATCAGCTGTAACTTAAGGCTCTTGGCCTGGAATGCCTTCAGTTTTGAGCCACATGGGGTGAGCCCAGGTGTTAGGCAGAAGAAAAACACTATGTGTTGCCTGGGAGATGGGAAGGAAAATGATCTAAGGCCAAGTGTCTTCATCTTTAAAAACAAAAACAAAATAACCTCAAACCATAATGAATATACTAAGTCCTGGGCTGAAACCATTTGCAGAATTGGGTCCTGTTAATCAGGGACTCATATACCAATGGTCTAAACTGGGTTTTATCGGACCCAGGTGCTGTAGACCTGAAAAGAAAATAGAATAATCACTAGAGCTTTGTGAATGGTTGTAGCTAGAGGATGAGGGAAGAGGAAGAAGCAAAAAATGACCCCAAGTTTGTGGATGTGAGTGAGTGGGAGATGATAGTACTTTTGATAGTAATAAGAGAAATCAGAAGGGAGAGCTGGACTTGGGATACTTGATGAGTTTGGGAGACTTGGACATAATGAATTTGAGGTGATAGCTGGACATTGAAATGGAAAAGGGCAGCAGGTAGCTGTAAATATAAGATCAAAGCTCAGAAGATAGTTGGGGCTGGAAAAACAGATTTAGGAGTCAATTACATACCCTCAACAAGCATTTATTAAAGGTAATTTTTTTTTTTTGGTGAGGCAATTGGGGTTAAGTGACTCACCTAGAGTCACACAGCTGGTGAGTGTTATGTGTCTGAGGCCAGATTTGAACTTGGGTCTACTCCATGGCCAGTGCTCTATCCACTGTGCAACTAGCTGCCCCCAAGCATTTATTAAGTATCTGCTGTGTGTCAAACACAGTGCTGGGCATATGGAGACAAAAATGACAGTCCCTCCCATCAAAGAGCTGATGTTCTACTTGGGGAAACTACATACAGAAATACAAAATATATACAAAGTAAATACAAGATTTTATTGGGGAGACTGGATACCAGGACCTGGAGATGTCAGGATAGTCATGTCATGTAGATGTCCTGTAGGAGGTAGCACTTGAGCTGAACCTTAAAGGGAATATAGGGGTTCTAAAAGGAAGAAGGAAGGAGGGAGTTCATTCTAGGTATGGAAGATAACTGGTAGAAAGACAGAGATGGGAAATGGAATGTCAAGGATGAAGACAGCAGGCTGAGTGGGTTTGAATGCAGAGGTTTTGAAGATAAATTAAGTACGGTGAGCCTGGAAAGCTAGACTGGAGCCAGATTATGAAGAGCTTTAAATTTCAGACAGAGCAGGGTATATTTGCGCCTAGAGGAAATGGAGTCAGTCATTGGATCTTCTTGAGCAGGGGTGGGATGTCAGACTTAGGCTTTAGGAATATGAAGTAGGCAGCTGTGTGAAGGATGGATTAGATGGAGAGACTTGAGTCAGGCAGATGGATTAAGAAGCTTTGGAAGTAGTACAAGTGAGAGGTGTTAGGGGTCTGTGGCATCCATTGTAGTCGAAAGAAGGGGATATATTTGAGAGATGTGGAAGTAGAATCAACAAGACAACTACTGAATGAGGAGTAGGGGAAGGAGAGGGAAGAGTCAAGAATGACTCCAAGGTCACAAACCAGGTAACTGAAAGGATGGTAGTGTCCTCAAAAGAAATAGGGGAAAGGGAGGATTTGGCGGGGAATAATGAATTATAGTATTGTATATGTTGAGTTTGAAAAGGCTATGGGACATCCAGTTGGAGATGATACAGTCGGTGATGTCGGACTGGAGCTTAGGAGAGGGACTGGGGCTGAATATATAGAACTTGGCATCATATGAATAGAGATAATAATGGAACCCATGGGAAAGGATGAAATCTGCAAGGGATAAAATAAGGGGGCCTGAGACAAAACCTTAGAGGACACCCAGAGGTGGTGGGATGATAATTGAACTCATGATAACTGATGAGATCATTGAGAGAGAGTGTAAAGAGAGGAGGGGCCAGGACAGAACTTTAGGGGATACCCATAGTTTAGGGGTGAGACATGTGGCATCCAACGAGGGACACTGAGAAGTAGCAGCCAAACGAGAGAGAGTACAGTCATGAAATCTCAAGGAGAGAGGATAAAGGACGGATATTGCAGATGTCAGATGTTGCAGAAAGTATTGTGGTGATAGTTAAAGACCCATGAGCTATTTGTAAGAAAATCTGAGCAGATATCAGAGGACAAAGGTACAGGCAGCATCCAATATGGGCTTGGGAGGCAATATGATGTTTGGGTATGATAGACTGTGTTCCAAATATCAGTTGTATGTTGGTTATTTTGAGATCAGAAAACCTGTTCCAGTGGATTCACTTTATAATGGTGATAAAGTTCTCAATCCAGCTCATGAACCTACTTGACTCATAGTGTAATAGTACGTAATACTAAGAATAATATAAAGTAGTATGTAATAATGTTCGTGTCTTGCTCTGAGCCTCCTGGACCCAGCTGAGCTCTGAGACCCAAATCATGAGGCCCTTTGAACCCTGAGCTCCAGCTGAAGTCTCTCTGACCCATTTAGCTCCCAGAGGTGACTTAAGTTCTGAGTTTGAGTACTGAGATTCTCCCAACTCTGAGGCTTCAATGGCTAGACAGCTTCGAGGGGTGAGGCATGGATATTCTGGGAGATAGATGATCTAGGGCTCAAGCCATAGCAGAACTGCCTTATCCTGGGGCCAGAGTACTCTTCTGACAGCAACTCTGTGTGTGTGTGTGTGTGTGTGTGTGTGTGTGTGTGTGTGTGTGTGTGTGTATGTATGTATTCATGATTCATTCATTTTGATATGGTAGATAGGGCATTCAAATAGGTTTGAATTTGCAAGGCATGAGCGGGAAGAGGCTCTGCAGTACTCCATGCTTGTAATGCATATAGCCTCCCCTAGGTGGGGCTAGTGCCTTATTAGATAATGTAGACCCATCCAGCATGTTTCACAGCAACTAGCACGCAAAGCTAAGCATTCATTTAAAAATATGAAAATAAAGTTTATGAAAATTGAGTCACCTCAAGAATTCCAATGAGGAGGCAGCATGGCAGTGGATAGATATCCGGTTACAAAGTCAGGAAAACCTGGTTTCAAGTATGTACTACTTCTGACAGTTGAGGGACCTTCCCCTAGCAAGTCACTTAAACCTTCAATGTCTCAGGTGCTCTCTTATAACTAAATTCTAGCAGGATTGCTGATTTGCTTTTTGAAAGAGTATCCTTGGGGCAGCTAGTTGGTGCAGTGGGTAGAGCACCAGCCCTGAAGTCAGGAGGACCTGAGGTCAAATCCGACCTCAGACCAAACACTTGACACTCTCACTAGCTGTGTGACCCTGGGCAAGCCTCTTAACCCCAATTGCTTTGAAAAAAAGAAAGAAAGAAAGAAAGAGTATCTTTACCAGCAGTTCTCCATACCAATGAAATCTTGGGCCAAAATATAAAAAGGCTTCAATAAGTAACAAATATGATTTTGAACAATATTGAAATAATAAAAACTTCCATACATTTGAAATGCCTTATGGACATTACTACTGCCTATATGTAATTGTTCAGTTTATTTAAGGTTGCAACTTACCTAGAATTAATTTGGAATCATCCTGGCTTTGTAAACTGGGTCTTGATTTATGTATAGAACTGGTTCTACAAGCTGATGTTACCTCAACTCCTCCCTCTCACCCCCCCCCAAAAAAAAAACCCCAACAACAACAAAAAACAAATCAACGACCCAGGAACCAACCAAGCAGCCCTTGGGCTGCTTTACCTCTGAAGTCTTCAAATTGGTCTCACAGTAATAAGAGGACTTTTCAAATTGCTTGCTGGAATTCCATTGGCATGAGAGGCTGAGTAGAATGCCCTTCATGAGTTTGCATACTTTCTCAGTGAGTGGCATAGAGACTGTCTTCCTTATTTGAAAAGCACAATAGCCTCTTTATGGGAGAGACCAGTTTTCCCGCTTTTCTCTAAAGTATCGGCAGAAAACTTCCTGCTCCTCTGTGGTGCTTATAAACCATCACAAGAAACACTCAAAGATTGTGGTTCTGTAGCCAGCGTAGAAAAGAGTTTCTGAATGAGGGATAAGTCCTCATTTTGATTGTTCCTTTTAAGTTTACATTTCTTTATTGTTTAATTTTTGTTTTACTACTGGCGTTATAGCTCTGAGACTGGGTTCTTCCTAGAAGTTCTCCATAGAGCAAGGGGTTTTGGCTTGAAGTCCGTGAACATAAAAAAGGTTAAAAACCTCTGCTTAAAGAGAGAATGCTTTCTGCTTTCTTTCCTGAATCAGTCAACCAATTTGAAACATATTTGGAACATAATTGTTATTTTATCAGGCAAAGAAAGCCGTGTGTGGGAACTTCCTGTACTGATGTAGGTGTAGAGGCTGCCACTGGTCTATGCCCTTGTAGAATGTGTCAGAGGGAGGATTTGAACCTAGATCTTCCAGGTCAAAAACACTGCATTCTATTCACTATGCCCACTACCTCTTATTTTATGGCTGTGGTAGAACAGTTTTTAAGCATGCAAGTTTTAATTTTTTCCCATCAGGGATACGAAAGGGAGAGAATCTGAAGGAAGAGGGTAGTCAGCACGTCACATGCCATGCACTGGTCAGAGAGAATGAAATCCAAGTAAAAGCCATAGAACTAGGCACTCAGGAAGAAAGTGATGACTTTCATAAGTCTAATTATAAATGAATCAGCCATTACACCTCTTTCATCGACTGTGTTCTTTCTTAGGGCTTACAGACTTCTTGAAAGTTACTCTTTCTTCATAGTTGGACTCCACTCTGGAGACTTGTCTCTGGGGATGACTAACTTCTTTGCACAGATTGACACAAAAGGATTTGTGACAGCTTACTGCCTTTA